AGCACCTGAGAGAGAGTGGGCACCTCCCAGAACATTGTTTTGTGCCATGCTCAACAGAAATACTCCAGGTGGACAACTTCAGCCATCAGGAGCTCCTCAGTTGCTCATAGAAAATCCCACCTTGGAGTTTACAAAGACTTATGGGTAGAAAAGCCACACTAAGTAATTTACTACACCACAGTAAGCATGTTATTGGGTTTAAATAAAACAGTCCTAATTCCTTCTGTCATATAAATCAAAACGTGTAGTTAAATTATATGACTCAAAATTTAGTTTTTTTACTTACTTGTTTACTTTCTGCCTGTTGTCTGTTTGATGTAAGTGAAGTACATTTACTTTTCAATTTTCACCGCATGGTCCTCCAGGATTTTCATTGATTAGTGTATAAAAACAATTCTGCTTATTAGAGTATTATACTAGATAGCCAGTGTTTCTACAGTCAACTTTATGATACAGAGAATGCACTTTCTACTAAGTACTCCATAGATCATCTGAGAGAAAGGTGGGACACATACACATATAACACCTATTGTTGATTGTGGAAATTGGAAGCTATAGTATTTTGTTGACTCAAAATATGAGTCAACAAAATATGAGTCAATTCCAACTCATAGCAACACTATGTATGAGAGTAGATTGCCCACCCAGTCTTTCTTCCGAGGAGTGATTGGTGGGTTTGAACCAACAGCCTTCTGATTAGCAGCCAAATGCCTTAGGCTACATACATAGAGCTCCTGTGTATAAGAGAATGAAACACTGCCCAGTCTGAGACATCATAATTATTGGCTATGTTTTGAGACCATTGTTGGAGTCACTGTGTCAGTCCGTGTCATTGAGGGTCTTCTTCTTTTCCTCTGACTCTCTACTTTACCACGCATGGTATCCTACTTGTGTTTGAAATGTCACACTATGAATAAAGATGAAATTAACAAGGCAAAATAAACCATTGTCATCAAAGTTTTGTACTAATTTGCGTGGCATTATCTCCAATAACTATTCTATCTCCAGGAAAGAGATCAGTGAGGTTAATCCGTATCTTGTTTAACACAGTTGACCCTGCCAGATGTAAATTAAAGTGTTTCATTTAGTTTCTCCCTTTTTTTTTTTTTTTTTTTTTGTAAGACAAATAACTAATAGTAACAAAATACACTGTTTTGGAAAAGTGTCCATTTTACCAAACTTCTTATACCTTACACTATTCCTTGTAACTGGAACTGGACCACCATATGAAAGCTAGTATTTGACAGCAGCATTTCCTCACAGTTGTATTTTTTCTTTGCTATTGAATTTCCAGTAATTGGCAAAAAGAGCTGATTACTTCAGTCCATCTGTCTTTTGAAATTATTGTCTATTATCTCATCATGTATGTGTATTTGAATGATATCAATAAATAACATATAATACCATATCTTCCAGGGAAGCACACATTATTGTATATAATACAAGCAATGAAGAAATGACAGTTGACAGCGCACAAAACTTGAAGTCACTGGGCTTAGACCAAGAGAAAGGTGAGTTATGTAAATAATGATACCCAATACTTTCATAGCACTTACTGTGAGCCAAGGACTATTCTTACCAATTTACACATATGAACTCATTTAATCTTGACATTAATTCATTTAATACTTGTCACACTTATGATGTAGGTATTATTTATTTTAGTATTTACCATTTTATAGATCGTCTAACCCTAAACTCACTGCTATTGAGTCGGACCCAACTCATAGCAACCCCTCTTAGGTTTCTGAGGTGGTATCACTACAGAAGTAGATTGCCCAACCTTCCTTCCAAGGAGTGGTTGCTGGGTTTGAACCACCAGTCTTCTGGTTAGCAGTCAAATGCCTTAGGCACTACGCCACCAGGGCTTCTTTACAGATGATAGAGCCATAAAAAGGTAAGTAACGTGCCCCAAGTCCTACAATTATGTAACTTTATTTCCCCATACCATCTCCACTTCAAGACAGTTTCTTTCCTTGTGCATAATAAAGTTTTCTCAGTTCTGTCATAGATGCTTACCATCTATTATCGCCTATTGACTTCTGTCCAAATCCTACCACTTCCCTTGTTTTTCTACTTGATTACTAGAATCTATGTACTTCTGTAGTCTTGACTCCTCAACTAACTTAACCTGTCTTGAATGAAAAGAAATTATATCTGATACTTTTTTTTTAAACTCCTCATAGCGCCTAACAGAATATTGAGTTCATACCAAAAAAAACAAACTCACTGCCATCAAGTCAGTCCTGACCCATAGCGACCCCTCATTGGGTTTCTGAGGCAGTATCTATACAGAAGTACATTGCTCTATCTTCCTTCTGAGGAGTGGGGGGTGGGTTTGAACTGCCAGCCTTCTGGTTAACAGTCAAATCCCTTAGGCACTACGCCACCAGAGCTCCCATTGAGTACATAGTAGAGACTTTATAAAATATGTCCTGAAGAATGAATTGCCAAAACAATGATACTACAGCAAGAGGATGCAAAGACTGTACAATAATATTTTAAGGGGATAAAGAAGTGGCTCCTGAAACTTATAGTCCAATTTGTTATATCAATGTATAAAACTGAATTAAGATTCTGAGAACTAGAAAACATAATGATACAAATATTGATACAAATACTGATATTTGGATAAGACAGACAAGCCCGGTGTTAAAAACCTCTGTATCATTGTCTAAGTGTAGTATAAATATATTTATAAGTTAACTTGAATATGTACATCCTTGGTTTATTTTCCCCCATGTTCAATACCATACTGAGACACATTGTTGAGCATGTCTAAAGTATATAGTTTCCCCAATTCTTTTCCCCTTGGTTCAATTTCTGATATGTCTAGCACTAGATATGTCTAGGTATCTAGTGCTGCTGTAACAGAAATACCACAAGTGGATGGCTTTAACAAACAGAAATTTATTCTCTGACAGTTTTGGAGACTAGAAGTCCTAATCCAGGGTGATAGCTACAGAGGAAGGCTTTGTTTTTCTGCTGGCTGTGAGGGAAGGTCCTTGTCATCAGTCTCCCCTTGGGTCTAGGAGATTCTCAGTGTAGGGACCCCACTTCCAAAGGATGCATTCACACCTGGCTCTTATTTCTTGGTGGTAGGAGGTCCCTCTGAACTCTGCTTATTTATTTGATAATCTCTTTTATGTCTCAAAAGAGATTGATTCAAGATATAACTTAGTCCTGCAGATTGAATTCTATCTCATTAACATAACTGCAACTAATCCTGCTTCATTAACATCCTACAGGTTAGGATTTACAATGCATAGGAAAATTACATCTGATCACAAAATGAAAGACAATTATGTAATACTGAGAATGATGGCCTAGCCAAGTTGACAAATATTTTTGAGGAATAAATTCAATCTATAACAATGTACAATGATGACAGTTGCATTCCTATTGAGAAATCATGATTTAAAGCAGCTTCTTTCTGAAATCAGAGTCAAATTATTTTTGTGAAGACTTTGACATCAGTTTAGTGCTAGGGTCACAGGTACATTTACATAATAAAAATTATCTTAATTGCTCTTGATTTGCAAAAACCTTTATCACTTTAGGTGATTTTTAAAGAAATAAGTTCTGTTATTATTTCCAAGAAATAAGTTCTTATAAATAAGTTCACCAGTGATCAGAAACCAGATGAATTGTGGGATGACATCAAGAGCGTCATTCATGAAGAAAGTAAGAGGTCACTAAAAAGACAACAAAAAAGAGAGGACCAAAATGGGTGACAGAAGAGACTCTGAAACTTGCCCTTGAGCAGAGTAGCTAAAGTAAATGGAAGAAATGACAAGATGAAAGAATTGAACCAAAGATTTCAAAGAGCAGCTAAAGAAGACAAAGCCAATTACTGTAATGAAATGTGCAAAGATCTGGAGTTAGAAAACCAAAAGAGAAGAACATACTCGGCATTTCTCAAGCTAAAAGCATGGAGGAAAAAATTTAAGTCTCGAGCTGCAATATTGAAAGATTCTAAGGGCAAAACATTGAATGATGCAGGGAACATCAAAAGAAGATGGAAGGAATACACAGAGTCACCGTATCAAAAAGAAGTGGTCGATCTTCATCCATTTCAGGAGGTGGCATATGATCTAGAACCAATGATATTGAAGGAGGAAGTCAAAGCTGCAGTGAAGGAATTGGAAAAAAAAACAAGGCTCTGGGAATTGACGGAATACCCATTGAGATATTTCAACCAACGGATGCTGCACTCACTCGGTTATGCCAAGAGATTTGGAAGACAGCTGCCTGGCCAACTGACTGGAAGAGATCCATATTTGTACCCATTCCAAAGAAAGGCGATCCCACAGAATGTGGAAATTATCGAACAATATCATTAATATCGCACGCAAGTAAGATCTTACTGAAATAATTCAAAAATGGTTGCAGCAGTATATTGACAGAGAACTTCCAGAGGTGCAAGCTGGATTCAGAAGAGGACATGGAACAAAGGATATAATAGCTGCTGTCAGATGGATCTTGGCTTAAGGCAAAGAATACCAGAAAGGTGTTTACTTGTGCTTTATTGACCATGCAAAGGCATTTGATTGTGTGGATCATGACAAATTATGGATACCATTGAGAAGAATAGGAGTTCCTGAACACTTGATTGTACTCATGAGGAACCTGTACCTTGACCAGGAGGCTGTCATTCAAACAGAACAAGGGGACACTGCGTGGTTTAAAATCAGGAAGGGAGTGTGTCAGGGTTGTATCCTTTCCCATACTTATTCAATCTATATGCTGAGCAAATAATCTGAGAAGCTGGACTATATGAAGAAAAATGTGGCATCAG